ATGGCTGTATCTTTTTTGACAAAATAACAACATACGTGAATTTCTGTCTGGGCTACTTTTTATGACATTAATTTAGGGGGACTAGAACATGAATGCCCTGAAAGAGCCCTTAACCAAAACCAACACTTTTATGCTTTTTATTCCTATTTTATTCTAATTTATTTAACTTTTAACTGGGAACACATTATTTTTCGTCGTGATTAACCAAGGATCCTTCAATTCAAGCAGTATTAACATTTATTTTCTATCTGCAGAGGGAATATAATATATAAAAATTAATATACATATTTGTTGAAATTTGGATATTTACCTAACTGTAAGCCTGTGGCATGCTCTTATGATCTAATCACCATAATCATAAATGGATGCCATGTTAAGGCCCTTGAGCAACTAAACCACGAAGAATGAAACATCTGAAAGACAACAAATGTGTAAAAGATGTGGATAAACTAGATTGCCTTACAAGCGTCAGCTGTAGAAAATTTCCCTTTAGCTCAGCGGTAAAGCATCGGGCACTATCCTTATCACTATTTCTCGTCCTATTACAAATTGGTGCCGGTGACCCTCCCCGTTCAAGGTAGGATAACCCTTGGCGGGGAGTCAAAGAACCTGGGTTTGTGTTTGAAAAAAGGGGGAATAGTGTAAACGATGTGGATTAATTAGGTAGCCTAACAAACGTCAGCTGTAGGGAATTTCTTTTAGCTCAGCGGTAGAGCATCGGGCTGGAGAGCCAAGGGTCGCGGGTTCGAGCCCCAGCGACTGCACTATCTTTATCACTATTCCTCGTCCTATTACAAATGTAGAATTGACCACAACGCTAATATATCCGGAGGATAAGCTGGTACAACTGTCTGACGAAAGCTGGCACAACTGGACAACGACGCAGGATACAACTGCCTGACAAAGGATGGTGCAACTGAACTACGACTCATGTCACAACTGTCTGACGAAGACTGGTGCAACTGAACAACGACACATGTCACAACTGTCTGACGAAGACTGGGGCAATTGAACAACGACGCATGTCACAACTCTCTGACGAAGACTGGTTTAACTGAACAACGACAAATAGTACAACTGTCTGACAAAGGCTGGTGCAACTGAACAACGCCACATGTCACAACTGTCTGACGAAGACCGGTGCAACTTAACATCGACTTATTTCACAACTGTCTGACGAAGACTGGTGCAATTTAACAACGACGCATGTCACAACTGTCTGACAAAGACTAGTGCAATTAAACAACGACGCATGTCACAACTGTATGACGAAGACTAGTGCAATTAAACAACGACGCATGTCACAACTGTCTGATGAAGACTGGTGCAATTGAACAACGACGCCTGTCACAACTGTCTGACGAAGACTGGTTTAGCTGAACAACGACAAATAGTACAACTGCCTGACAAAGGCTGGGGCAACTGAACAACGACACATGTCACAACTGTCTGACGAAGACCGGTGCAACTTAACATCGACTTATTTCACAACTGTCTGACGAAGACTGGTGCCACTTAACATCGACTTATTTCACAACTGTCTGACGAAGACTGGTGCCACTTAACATCGACTTATTTCACAACTGTCTGACGAAGACTGGTGCAACTTAACATCGACTTATTTCACAACTGTCTGACGAAGACTGGTGCAACTGAGCAACGACACAGTACAACTGTCTGACTAAGACTGGTGCAACTGAACAACGACAAATAGTACAACTGTCTGACAAAGGCTGGTGCAACTGAACAACGCCACATGTCACAACTGTCTGACGAAGACCGGTGCAACTTAACATCGACTTATTTCACAACTGTCTGACGAAGACTGGTGCCACTTAACATCGACTTATTTCACAACTGTCTGACGAAGACTGGTGCCACTTAACATCGACTTATTTCACAACTGTCTGACGAAGACTGGTGCAATTTAACAACGACGCATGTCACAACTGTCTGATGAAGACTGGTGCAATTGAACAACGACGCATGCCACAACTGTCTGACGAAGACTAGTGCAATTAAACAACGGCGCATGTCACAACTGTCTGACGAAGACTGGGTTAACTGAACAACGACAAATAGGACAACTGCCTGACAAAGGCTGGGGCAACTGAACAACGACACATGTCACAACTGGCTGACGAAGACTGGTGCAACTTAACATCGACTTATTTCACAACTGTCTGACGAAGACTGGTGCAACTTAACATCGACTTATTTCACAACTGTCTGACGAAGACTGGTGCCACTTAACATCGACTTATTTCACAACTGTCTGACGAAGACTGGTGCAACTGAGCAACGACACAGTACAACTGTCTGACGAAGACTGGGGCAATTGAACAACGACGCATGTCACAACTGTCTGACAAAGACTAGTGCAATTAAACAACGACGCATGTCACAACTGTCTGACAAAGACTAGTGCAATTAAACAACGACGCATGTCACAACTGTCTGACGAAGACGGGTGTAACTGAGCAACCACACAGTACAACTGTCTGACGAAGACTGGTGCAATTTAACAACGACGCATGTCACAACTGTCTGACGAAGACGGGTGTAACTGAGCAACCACACAGTACAACTGTCTGACGAAGACTGGTGCAATTTAACAACGACGCATGTCACAACTGTCTGACGAAGACTAGTACAACTGAACAACGACGCATAGTACAACTGTCTGACGAAGGCTAGTACAAATGTACAACGACGCATGTCACAACTGTCTGACAAAGACTAGTGCAATTAAACAACGACGCATGTCACAACTGTCTGATGAAGACTGGTGCAATTGAACAACGACGCATGTCACAACTGTCGGACGAAGACTAGTACAACTGAACAACGACGCATAGTACAACTGTCTGACGAAGGCTAGTACAACTGAACAACGACGCATTTCACAACTGTCTGACGAAGACTGGTGCAACTGAACAACGACACATGTCACAACTGTCTGACGAAGACTGGTGCAACTTAACATCGACTTATTTCACAACTGTCTGACGAAGACTGGTGCAACTCGACAACGAAGGCACAGTCAACTGGACAAAGAGCCATGGTACAACTGGCCGATAAAAGCTGGTGTAACCTAGAATGGAGCATGATACAACTTGCAACTAGATGGCGAAGCGAAGGAAGGAGGCTTGTACAGCTGGGCACGAGACATGATACAACTTGCCGAAAAGGAAATTATTTTTTTGTTTGTATTATCATTGAAAAATAACGAATCTAATTCATCAAAAACTGAATTTCATGTACCGTATCTTAATTTTAAAAAATGAAGAAAAATGTATGTTTTGAACAAATAAAAGGATAAGACAGCATGCAAATTATGTGCAGATCTTTTCCTGACGTATCATTTATACATGCAATCATATGCACGGTATTATGAACACTTTATTAGAATTTTATTTTATTCTTGAAGTTTGCGAAAATACAAAATGATTGGTAATGAACACAAACAAAAATAAAAAGAACATATCAAGACATTTATTTCCGATTCTACAGGACACGAACATTTTCAGAGCAATTGAACAGATTGTCCAATACAACCCTCATTTCTTTTCACTGAAATTGATAAATATAAATAATTGTTACAACCTGTATATCTTGGTGCCAATTACAAATATTAACGATGCAATGAGTAATGGTTAATATTGCTGGAAATCGCTACCACCTTATTAAGTGTCTTTGTCACAGAATTACAGACAAATGGATTGATATACTGCATACATAATGCTGAATCATATTTTGAATTGATGCTTCATTTATAGTTAAATGTATATTTTTCGGAAATGACTAAGCCTCGACTACTACTGATACATACTACCACAGCAATGTATAGTAATTGTTCTGCTGTTGTAGCTGTGTACAGCACTCTATCTGTGACACTTATGTGACCTACATTTTATATGTTTATGACATGTGGATTGCCTGTAGTACTATATAGATGTTTAAAATGATATTCATGGTTGAGAAAATTTGACTTAAATGAAGCTATCACGTACTTTCTTTAAGATAATTTTCGGGTAGTTTATGTAAGTGAATATCAAACATATAAAATGTAAAACATCATTCATATGTTCTATTTTTAAAACAGGAGGTCCGTTGGTGAGTTTAAATATCCTTGATGTATTTGTGTAATGCTGTAAATGAACGCTCCTCGTCACGACTTTTATGAAGTACGTTGGTTGTCGTCCTACGTATACTTAACTCACACACGCAATAGTTTCTATTTTAACTGTAAATTTCCAGCTCATAGAAGTTTAGATGATGCGTCGCGATTACAGATAATTTCCACCTAACTATTCACCACCATACTCTTCCCTTTTTCTGGCAGAAGCTTAATAGCTACGATTAATAGTCAGGGGGTTAGCTGATTAATTGTTAGGGGTAAACCCGACTAAAAATCTGGTGGTAAACGATAAATAGTCAGGGTGTAAGTATGATTAATAGTCGGGGAGTAAACCCGATTAATTGTCAGGGGGTAAACCCGATTTATAGTCAGGATAAACCCGATTAATAGTCATGGAGTAAAAATGAGTAATAGTCAGGAGGTAAACTTGATAAATAATCAAGGGATAAACCTGATTAATAGCCAGGGGTAAATCTGATTAATAGCCGGGGTGGGGGAAGGGGTAAACCTAATTAATAACCGGGGTAAACCTGACTAATAGCCGGGGGGTTACTCGAGTAATAGTCAGTAGGTAAAACCGATTCATAGCTGGTGTATACCAGAAAAAAGCTAGGGTAACCCTGATTAGTAGTCGGGGTACATTTCCGATCATTATCTTGGTAAACACGAAAAGTAGCCAGGGAAAAGGATTAAGTACTTGATTCGTTGAAGGTAATAATTAAAAACTATACAAAATAGTTTTCATGTAATTGTGCTATCCCTGCCATAGTAACATTCAATCCTAAACATTTTTCATATTACGAAGTATATATATATATAAAAGTGTAAAAACAACAAATTTCAACAACACGTTTACATTATAAAAAGTTTACAATTGTATACAAAAACAATAAATTAAATTACAACCTGTATTTCTCTGAGCATCATATGTACACTTTTCTTTTTCTCATGAGTTCAAATATAAATACAACAGTACATTTCATGAGTTATTTAGTAGTTTTTAACATGTGCCGAATGAATTAGATGACACAGCAAACACTTTGTCTGTGTCGACGTTGACTGGAGCATCCTTGTAGATCATGACCAGCGGGATTCCCGGTTTCATCATTTTATTTATAGCAGCGAACTCTGTAGCAGATGAGTTTTCAAAAGGACTGGAAAATCCTACCTTTTCCCCTTTGGGAACTTCACTTGCTAGATTACGAAACAAGCCTTTTGCTACACTTTTGTCATCTGCATACAAGGGAGCTATCTGGTTGTAGGAATCTTGGGACCTCAGTACCCCGTACCCGCAAACCTTACCACCACGAAATGCCACACAAGTCTTGGACTTGTCATGGCTTATCCAATTCCTCATGTATTTCTCCCTCGCCACTTTGTGAATCTCTGTATCGTACTCCAGCAGGTCAGGGAGGCTGGCCTGTCCTAAGGGAAGTATCGTGAAATCCTCGACATCCTTGTTCTTACACGTCCGTTGGTCGATGTGGCCGTAATTGTACCACGTCATGTATGCTTTGGTTGGCTGGACGCCATGTTCTTCCTTGATCTTTTGCTGATAATAAGGCCACACAAACGTTCCTAGGTTTTTGTTTCCGACTGCCTTATGAATTTTCCCGTACAAGTCCATTCCTACGTTGGACTGTCTGTATTCTTTCTTCACCATCCACAGCCCCATCGTTGCTACGTTATCTGCGTGCGACATATACCCATGGGAGCCTAGAAACATAGAAAAGAGTATTGCTTGTTGAAAACATTGAACATTTATTTGGAAAACACTCAATCTTCAAAGTCCATCATGAAAGATATCTCAATAAAAATAATATAGTATGATATGGTAGGAGGGCGGTAGATCATTCGTGCTCGTTTTCAATTTCCTGTTGTCATTGACAAAATATGTACAAGTATTTTCTGGGGGTTTTGACCCTAGCATATCGATGCTTCGTAGAAGGAAGGCAAAGCTGTATGATGTAGTGTGATTCATTTTGGCATACGTATTTATTTCCATTTTAAGGTGCAGTTATGTATACGTGTATTACGTTCATCGTCCTGTTATGACCAAAACATGAAACTTTGTTTAAAGAGTTTGTTGACCCACATTTTCCCTATCTTTTTATTTCTATATATGTTGATGAACACATTTTAGTCCGGGATTGCCGTTCCTGTCTACGTTGTTTTGATTCTGTATACTTCATTTAAAAGAAAGCTTTAATTAGTATGGATGTGTGGAAAAGTAGTAAAAGTATCTGGACAAAATGATATTACGTTGAAAGTAAAACAGTAAGCACCCTACCTATTATTTCACCGTCATCCTTTTCCGCGACAAAGAAGCCAGAAGGATCAGTTTTAAAGGCACATTCCGTGTACGCCTTCTCCATCACCCATTTCTCGCTTTCCAGGATGTTGTTGATGGCTGGTAAGTCTTTGTGTTCCATTTGTCGGATGCTGTAGGTCACTGGTCGGGTTACACTGAAGTAACATACATATGTATTGATATATAATTGGTGGGGTAACGATGGGAAACACACGTGTATATTTCTTTAAATAGTCATGTTTTTCTATGCATACATATATAAGGATATATAAACACATATTACATGCATACTAATAGTCCTCTGGATAACTGAACTACTCGGTAGTGAAGCAGACGTAAAACCACTCAAACAAATAAACAAACTTACACAAACTAACACTTAGTCTTTTACGTCGTGGCTAGCGAGCCCCTCAAAATTGACATTTTCATTGTAGTTCTATTGACTATGAATGTCAAATGAAAGCTGTTCAATTTTTAATTTTCCTTTTTTACATACAAAAAGTAGATAAGTAGCTGTTTCCAGACTTACATAAACCAGAACATGAACATGCAAATAATTCACACGCGCACACATACACACATACCAAATTTAGAGACGTACGAGTAATATTACTTTTTACATCCAAACCACTGTACAGATCATGGTAGGGTAAGAGCAAACTGTGTGTTAAAAGCACACCTCTAACCATTCTTTTGTGACATTAATTTAAACTGATCTCAACGCCTAATTTTTATTAAAGTAAGTCTTTCCAAACAACAGTTTAGTTAAATATTTATATATGTACCATTTTGTAAGATTCCTGTTCGCCGTTGTTATTGCTGACCTGGGAAATCGTCTGACAAGTGTACTGAGCATCCTTTAGTATTTGTTTTAACTGCCACGAACGTCTGCTTAGTATGAATGAGAGAGTTATTAGTTATATGTGTACCGTAGATATATATATATGGGTCAAAGAAGTAATATAGACGGTAAAATCCCACATATATATACACCGGTTATTCCAGATGCTATTTCCTTCATACGACAGAGGCTGAGGGGAATATATATACGTCATCGTGTAAGTATAACAGTTGCATATATCTATATCTATAAATAGACAAACTCCCGACCACCAATGGTTTTTTAATAGTTTATATAGTTTTAAAAGATTTCGTGTTTTATTCCTGTTAAAATAATAATATGATGCATTGCATGAAAAGTTATTTTTTGTGGATATTATTCGATATTTGTTTAAGATTGAGGTCAAATAATATTTTAAATTAAATTATTGTTGCGGAAAGGAGTGTAACTTTGCCTTGAATTAATGGTACGATATTTGGAAGTTTTCACAATTACAGTGAATCAGATTGAAGACTGTATAGTTCTACCACAAACAATCTACACTGTACGTTGAGAGTGTCCTCTTTTTGTTTCAATACGGCGTAAACTTTATGTGGTATTTTGCTTTCCCTTGACCCTTATAATACAAGTAGCTGTTCATTTGATTTAAAACTAACAAACAAGTGTTAGTTGTTGTTACAGCTGTTACGCAGTTGACATATCTGGTAATTTTTTGGAAGTTTTCACAATTACAGTGAATCAGATTGAAGACTTATAGTTCTACCACAAACAATCTACACTGTACGTTGAGAGTGTCCTATGTTACAACTGTTATGAAAATGGCTATCCGCAGTATACTAGTTGAAGCACGGTTATAACTAAATACGCTATTTCTAAAACTTTGTATTAGTAACTATACCTAGAAAGTTACAATTCACAAAGTCGACTGGATTTCTCTCTACTCGTTCTAGTGGTTCTCCGTGTAAATATTTCCTTTGTAATAGAGCATAGAATGGAAAAGCTATATGTTTTTTTCTGACAGAAAAAAGATGTTTTGTAGGAAAGCTTTTAAGATTGATAAAACGATCTTTGGATTCTCTAAAGCCTATATTCCACCTATATTTCACTACTTTCTTTTTTTGGATTAAACTGTACTATTTGTAGCATTTGCAGGTGATTTAACTATATTCGCATTATCCAAAGGTAACGCATACTTCAAGACTGCGAATATTAACATCCTGAATTATAATTTCATTTAAGATATATTAACGGCCGCATTACTGCCGAATAATGAAAATCAAACAGCAATTCAGTTTCAGCAACCAAGATCGATACGAAAGTACTTTTGTGAGCGCAATATATTTGTTGCGAGAAATTTAAACAAGTTCTGACCGGGACAACGCGAAATATTAGCCCTGCGAAATAAACTACTATACAGTAGTGTCAAACTATGACTGTAACACTAACTTAATGGTACTAAAATGTCAACCAAAAGTTTGGATAAGGAAAAAACGTTGCTTATAAATATTCATCTGAAGTTTCAGAATTCCGATCAAAAATCCGTTATGTAGTGTAAAGAATATCATTAATTTGACGTGTGATTATACTGAAATTCCTTTATTTGTTAATTGTCTCGACTCTAAAATTGTCTTTATTAAAGATCGTCCATAAAACCACATTTAGTGCAGCAAATCTTAAACACTATTTAAATTGGATAATAGGAAGCAGTATACAGTAGAGGGTTGTGGCCATGGGTGATATTTTTGTTAAATGGCTAACCCCTGTATAATGATATGTAAAACCATTATAAAAATAAAACTGTACTAAAATTGGTTCGAGAATAAAATTTTGTCCATAATCCGAAAGGGTGCTTACACATGAAAAGCTAGCTTTACAGGAGGTAAAATTTTGACAACAGCACACGACGCAAAATTGCAAAAAATCAAGTTTTACAACTTTCCTGGGACCCGGATAATTCTGCAACCAGGTAGGTAATCTTTTATTTCAGACAGAACTTACTAGTTGCGGGGGTCAAATTTTGGGTCAAAAATAGCAATTTTTGGCATTTTTTGGTAATTTTTAATGTGGTAACCATGGTTTGCACACAAGTGACATACATAGAAATGGAGGTTTATACACTTCTCAGTACTTTATATGTATTGTAAATGTAATGCAGTTTACAAATATATATACATGTATACATGTGTTGTGTAGGGTAAATCCGCTGTGTTTACATTTCCTCGACATGTGCCTTGTTTATCATTTCTACTGTACACTGCTTCCATACCACTCTTATATCAGCTGTATAAGTTGTTTCAGTGTATGAGTGATGTGTGAATAGTACTATATGTGTATGTCCAAAGACTTTGTCCACTACATCGTAAAATAACTGGATTTGAACCAGATGTACTGTGATCGGTTGATATAAATTGAATCCATGCTACATTATTTTCCTATCATTATGCAATCTCTTAATAATGTTGTGACATCATTCTTATCGAGCATGTTAGTAGGTAATCGTGTCCTGTAAACATCGTACTCTCTTTCTGACGTCTCATCCCATCACATTATGTCGTGCGAGTGTTGAAATACGCAGGATAAGTACTTACACTACAATGTCAAGTGCCGGAAACCTTAAATTTCAAGAAGATCCTGAGGTTTGTTGTTGTCGTAATACTTGCCATGGTAGGATATATAGTAAAATATAAAGGAGGAGGAAGTTTTTTTATTGAATGAAATCTCCATTTTGGTTGGCTACATTTCGTCACTGAACTTATGGTTGGTACCACGTATCGGCTATATATAATATGATTCAAATGCAATAAACAAACAACTCGAGAAATAAAAAAACAAAAACGTCGAAATTGTATTTTCATATACTTGTTATATACCATGCACTTTGTAATTGGCCGTTTATTGTTGTCATGATGTTGTTCGTTTTAATGACGCAAAGTAACTCATAAACTAATAGGTCATATAACATGGGTCAATACGCCAGAAAATAAGACGTGTATATTCACTTGATAACAAAGTACGTTAAGTATATAAATGTACATATTAATAATATATCTATGCGAATGCAGGGTTCCATTAAACGAAATCATAAAATATTTATACATACGTCTTAGGACTGATCTCATCGTCTATAAATCCTGAGTTGAGGACTTATGTATAAAACTTGTAAGGATTCAGTTAGCTACAATGCTGTTGTTGTTAGCTTCCGGGATGGATAAGTGGTTAAGGCGTCTGACATTCTGCTACCACTAGCCCTCCACCACTGGGTCACGGGTTCGAGACCTACGTGAGGCGGTTGCAGTTTAAAGTGTAAGCGCTTTTACTCTTTACAACATTTCCTGTCAAATCTAGAAAAATATTTCGAGTGCCATAGAAAATGATCATTATAGCTCACGATCAGGACTGCCATTTCCAGTTGGTCACTAATACATTCCCAAATATATACATAATGTAGATATGTTGTTATTTTTGTACACTTAGGCTGTGGTCATATTCATGTTTATTTTGAATTTTATGATAATTGCATGTAGTGTCGAATGAAGTCATGCGATTCATCAATATAGGTAAAAATGTTATATAAATGTGTAGATGATGGTAGCTGCAGAGTGGGCCAAAATCAGTAGGTTGGTTTTACAAATTAGCAACCCATCCACACTAATTTATTTGAGTAATTGACAGCCCTATTTATATTTGATGAACATGTATCTTTTTTCAAGTGTTTATATATAAATGATCTTTGGAAATTTAGAATAAGGTATCATATATCCGTAATCTGGATTATATGACGTGCGCAAAAATGAATTTTAAAATGTATTCGATAACATGTTTAAGAGATATGGCATTACATTAGAAACACAAACCCGCATTTTCATAATAAAACGCGTGAATATCGTTTTTTTTGCGCTATTTGGTTGAATTAACCATTTTGAAGGAAATAAGCAAACACTCTTCGATCGTGAAAGCCTCCGCAAACACCAAACAATTAAATATTTGACATGCTTAAACATTGTCATACCAGTGTGCATTCGTTGAAAGGAATTTTTGTTTGTCACATGCGGAGGCTTTTATATCACAATATTTGGCTTTTTCTGCTGGTGCTATGGTTTCGCATCTACGCATGCGCATTAGAAACAATCTGCATCATATCATGAAAAACAGAAATTGGTAAATGAATTAAAGTTGAATTTTTTACATTATATGAAACCAAAAATGATCCACAAGTCCTTTACCATAAGTTATTGCAAGTATCTCCCTATGTAATAAGTATCAGTACACTGCCCAGGGGAATTCTACAATACAAAATCATAATATATTTAGAATAGATACTACAGATAATAACAATATGTGCTACAGGTATTTACCGTATATATTACAGATATTAACAACATTGAGCATTCGCCCAGGTGAGGAAGGCAATGGGTTCTGTCCCCAGGCCGGGACATATCAAAGTCACTAAAAATGGTAGTTGGTAATGATCTGCTTAACGTCCAGCATTACGGGGAATGGCAACAACTGATGCACCCTTTGTCAGTATAATGTGACCGGGCGGAATGCTATGCTGGGTGTCTTCGGCATGGCATGGTGTTTCAGTGAGATAGCACTATAAAGTCGGCATTAGATCCGCGCTATCACAAGGAGGATATTAACCCAACATACACTGTCTCTGACAATTAGAATGTTACTCTCAGAAAATAAAAAAACTTATTGAATCATAACGTGTAAGTTTAGGATGAACAAGAAACGCTGATCACTTAAATAAAACGTATGGAGTATCTGCTTGGCACACTGACTTACTGTCAAAATGTACAAATCGTGTCGAAAATAAAGTTGTTATTACAGTCTACTGGGTTTGTTTTCCGCCAAATCTTGAATGGGCTGCGGTTTTACCTCACCAGGTCCTGGGGGCAGAGGGACGGGGCTCAATAGGGGAAATAGAGGTAAAACCTTCAAAATCTTCTCATATCGTGAGGATTAAGAGATTTTATCCTAATTTAGTCTGGGGCATCTTTGGGCTAAGGGGACTCAATTTTGTATAAATGGTAGGAATGAAAA